AAATGTTTGAAATCACGACGACGAACAGTGTCTTTTGTTTTTATTATTGTTTTAGTGACCTTTATTGTGTTATATCACTATTTTTCTGCAGAAGCCAAGTTTTCGATTTTTATATATGTATATATATATTTTTTCATTTAGTGTAGCTAAAAGCACTGTTATATTAGTTGGAAACGAAACAATATCTGCTCTTAATATTTCCTTCTCCCGGTGGGTCCAGTCTTGCCTTCCGTTCGTAGTTGAGAGTTGGAAGCATAAAGTCAGGGGTCATTTCTAGAATGCTGTGACTTCCAGTGTCAACCAACAGTCTGTTGTACTCTGTATTAAATTGATTTGTGCAATTGGCAATTTGGCAATGTGCACAAGTCTATATGCCGAACATCTAGCTTCTCTCCAGAAAAATGAGGAGAGGAGGTAGATCTAAAAGGATCTCCATGGCCGTTGACGGTGTGGTACTGATGACAGCACTGGTGGCCGGACAAGTCTGACTCTGTAAGCCAGAGAGCTTGGCCTGAACCGTTTTCGGTTAAGCCTTCGGGCAATAGGCAATTGCACTGTAAGTGATCATTGGTCTGACAATCATCACATAAATCCATTGGATTTGTTTGGGACCTGAACACCAAGTTTCACCACAATTCCTTCGACTTTGTGTAGAACTTTTTCCAAGTGAACGTTCCAGGTGAGTTTTTTTATTAAACACAATGCCAAAATATTTTACCTCCGTTCCAGATGGAGTGACTTCACCATTGAGGGAGAGTGGCGTTAGATCGTCCAACTTTCTCCACCTTGGGAAGGGATTATCACAATTTTGCTGGGGTTGATAGACATCTGCTCCTTCAGGCACCAAGTGTGAACAACGTTCAACGTGCTTTGGAGGATATTACAAGCTACCCTTCCCGACGTGGACCTTGCAAGGATAACAAGGTCATCTACATAAGCTTGCAGATGTACTTTTCTTCTGCCGAGGGCATCAAGCAGACTATCCAACAGGAGCGACCACAGAAGGGGAGATAGTACCCCACCTTGAGGGCAGCCTCTGGTGACCCTGAACCTAAAGTCCTTGCAGTTGCAGTTCTGTTTACTAGCATGGTATAGATCAAGTCAGTTATGGTCGATTCTATAACTTTCCTAGCCTATTATAACTCAATGTTCCGAAAAGATTTTTCATTTCGTGTAATTCATAGTTTATGTAAATTGCTTTCTTGATATCTTTGTAAAATCCCCACATTTTTTCTATGAAGATGGACAAATCGAAAGCCAAAACCTTTCTTTCCCAATTACTAAACGAAAGTACTGAAAAAGTACTACACAAATATTTCGGTCGATACGTCAAGAAGGGTACTTCGACAACGCCACTGAAGATTACTGCCGCAGTTGCAGTCGAAACTCGTAACCAAAGAATTCCAACCAAAATATTGATGCCAGCCGTGAACGCATATTTTTTTATAGAAAGTTGTACTATAATCTCTAATATAAGGCAGCATTTGGCAAATAATAAACCAATTCAGAAAGCTGAAGTTTGATTTTCGACTGAAAACCATTTATCAGAATTTGAAAATGTGCAACGCACCTGAACCAGAGCAAAAAATAAATGAAATCATTTATCTTTCTCTTGACTATATAACTGATTCACTTTGCTATATTTTCAATTTGGCTATGGTAAAGTTTTTAATTGTTTCAAGATAGTTACAATCAAGCCAAATAAAATATTGACCCATATCTTTTACTTTATAATTCACCTGATGTTTTGAAAATCATTAAAAATATATTATTGGAGTATTTGGACAACATAGTAATTTGTTTGATTAGGCACAGAAGTATACATTTACTGCCGATCATTTCCAATATTTATTCTGATCTTATGGTATGAGCTTTAATTTCAAATCGTTGAATCGTATTCTATAATGATAATTATTATTATTGTCGGTTGGACAACCCTCAGAAGTCGAAACTTGTGCAAGCTAAGGATTAACGAGGTCTTACCTTTTAACGTGTGATTCCTAACACGGGTTGGACGATAGCAAGTGAAAATCGATCGTTCAGACTGAGGCTTGAACCACCGACCAACACGGCGGTCAATTCGAGTGAGTGAACAAGGCACTCACGTCGAACCGCTTGGCAACCGTCCGTAGCCAGGCGGTTCGACGTCGATTTGCAATCCCTGACAAAATATATAGCAATTAAAAAGACTAGCTAAAAAATAACAAAGCAAAAAAACGGAAATGACAATGAAATAAAATACAAGCAACAATTAAAATTTGAACTGTTGACAAGAAATGATTTGTCGGTTTTCCGAGGCTACAATTTCTCTTGTCTTTAGAGAGACGGGTATCTTTACTTCTTTTCAGGGTTCCGATGTACACCGACCCGCAGCCACATCGCCTTTGACAAGGTCTACCGCAGTAGTAGACGAAACGTCAGGAATTAAAGCCTACAGATCACGGCCACAAAACCCGGAAAATAGTTTTGAAACAGTTTACAAACTGAATAATTCATACAGAACATGATTTATTAGTTGAACAACTCACAACAACAGAACAACTCACAACAACAGTATTCTAATCCACGTCGTGTTTTTCTTATGCGCCATTTCTCTTTTTCAACTCTGTTGATTCCCATCTTTGTGTTTGGCGAGTGGACCAGTCCGATCCTGACATATTCGGTAATCTCAAGGCGGCACCCATAATACTTGGTTTGCAATAATATTCAGTTGCTGGTTTTTCTTTTTCAGCTTTTTCGTAATGCTAAGATTTTAATCGCCGGTTCTATCGAAAAAAACCTTTGCGTAACTTTATATATGTATAATAAGTGATTTACAACTAATGCAATTTACGGCAAGTGGCAATAAATAATAATAATAGCCTCTAGATGTCATTTACCCACCTATATGTAAACAGCAAATGGTACATTGCTGAAAGTGCATAGAATCACGTATCTTATTACGAATAATTTATTATGTTGTGATATCCCGCAAAATTCGAAATAAAAAAAGTTGAAATATTGTAGTTTTTTAATACTTAGTATCAGATTCCAATATATTTACACAATCGTCTGATATATAATATGAAACATTTATTTTTGAAATAAACGTTTCAAGTCTTCATGGGAAACTTATGTTTAAATAAGAGTTTGTACTTTTTATATTACACTTAGATCACGTCTCACTTTTTTTAAAGAAACTATACAATGTCCGGTGCTTTCAGAACCAGTAGAGATCCTTGGAGGAGTCCTGGACTTGGGCCTCCAAACCTGTAACAAAAAAAAGTTTTTTAGAAAAATCTTAGAAATAATGGAGAATTATTTTATTCAATATTTGTATAACCAGTAAGTAATACAGGTCGGATTTAAATTGTTTCTTTCGATTTGTTTTTGAAAGAAATATTTCTGAATGCTCTACATATTTCTGAGTTTTGACAATTGTTTGTCAGCGCTCTCTATATTTACTTTTCTTTCTCTCCATTCTTTCATAAAATTCTGCAGTGATCAATAAATAAATCGATAGTTTTATTTATTCATTATTTTAATTGTCAGACACGGACAAAACAACAGTTTCAAGGAAACTAAAAAACATAATAATTTAATCTGTTTGACCTTTTTATCACCAACAACAGTTTGGTCAGATAAAAAATCATCATCCCATGATTCACTCAATGGTCAGGTGTGTTAACGAGTTAGATAATAAAATCACCTGCATGTTGACACACGTTCGCCGATTCCAAATATTTTTGAACTCAAATGCTGTTGTGGATCTCGGGTTTAAGCGCCACAGAAATATTAACTACCTTTAAAATTGTTCAAGGATATATCTTATTGATATCCAAGACCAAAACTATTTGATGTAGTTCGAGTCTACTTCGTAACCGTCCAAATGAATCAATTATTGAATTAAATCTAGAGGTTAATGAATCATTAGAAATTTTCTCTGAACCGTCGTCTCACTTTCTCGAATCATCTAAAGGAACAATTTGTTCAGGCCAGTCTGAAATTACCACACTGTAGGTTAATGTACTAACACATATCAGAAAATAACTACTCCCCTGGCTAATACCACGAAGGGCGTTGGATTATATCCAACAGGTGTCAGTGCAGGATTCTTCCCAGAAGATATTTTTGCATATGCTGTTGGCGATACAACTGCTGCAATAGATGTTCAATTATTGAAACACACTTGATGCAGACCGGTTTCAGGCTGTTTGGCCACTCATCAGTGCAAGGTAGTGTCAATCATCAACATAAAGTCGATGATTTCCGATAATTAAAAATCGAATTCCATCAGAGTATCATTCCTCAAACTAGGCTGAAGCGGACAACAAACAACAGATTTGTCCCACTGACTATATGCAAAGTCTCACTTTCTTTATAGTTGATACAAAATCGAATATTTGAAGTGACGCGCTAATCCCAAGTGAACATTGAACCATTGTAATGTTGAAAATCTACCTTTCAACACCAAACAATGATATAAATGGTATGAGAAATTACAACTCCTCAAAACTCAAGGTATATGAAACAGCTATTAATCATATAACAAAAGCATAAAATAAAAGTTTAAGTTCAGAAAAACCACATCAAGAAAGAATTGAACAAAAGTTATTTCTGTGGTTGAAAGACATTTCTGGGACGTCTCACCACTTCCACAATCTGGAAAAAATATAATGGAAAACTTTCTACAGGAATTGAATAGCTAACTTCTAGTTGTAGACACGAATCGCAACATTTTGGAACCCAAAATCTGTCTTCGTTCTCATTACTAAAAATAATCAACTATAATTCGATAAAGGTTAAAGGAGTTTTGAAATATGAAATATGTCGATATCATAACTTTTATTTTTTCAGATTATGGGAGAATTCGCAGGATGATCCATAAAAAAATCACAGGTTAGATTTATAGCATTGAAAACTTCAGATGAAGTGATGGGTTTGAAAGAAAGATCCGGCTAAAGTAGGTTTAAGTCCATTATCAAGTGATTTCAAAGACTTTTTGTGGTAAATCACTATGGTTTCGGCAATGGTAGTAAAATATGAATTGAATTCGTGGGGAGAGATACATCAGTTGCTACATGAGATGGTGCTTTGCCTTTTTCAAAATTAATCAGCCTCCAGCTATCCCTGATTTTTTTTCAAAAACTACACCTCACGATTTGATCTCCACAAACTTTGAAATTACTATGGGTCTTCATCAAGTAACGGCCGAATCGATTAGAAAATCCCTGATTTTATTGTCGGATTTCTTGATGAATTTATCGTACGCCTTTTGTTTCGATTCAGCAATGGCTTTCTGATATTTACCGTTGATCAGTTTGAATGCTTGTTTATGAACGGGATCATTTGTCATATCGTATATTATCTAAAATGCGCGAATTATAAGATGAGGACGCCATAATTCACAAGCCTGGCAAGTCGGTGCGACCAATTGTCACCCGTACTTATAAAATTGCTAAATGACTAACCAAATTCTCTCAATCTCACAACTGATGAGTTTATAGAGAAGGTTGAGGGCGTAAAGCTGTGACATGAAGATATTTCAGTATCATTTGATGTTCCTAAGTGTCGCTTTATCAAAAACTATTGAATGGAACATGGAACAGAATGGTTCCCAATTCAACTGTTTCTACAGACAGCACGAAGTCATGGCAATAGGAAACCCATTGTCCCCTGTTCATGAGCAGATTAGAATTTAAAGCAAAAGACGTGACAGGCCATTTTGAACAAATTTATATTTTTACTTTTAAATACAGTAACTAAAAAAATATGCCAACTGCATTAACGACTTTACACTAAAGTCCCCTTTAAAGTAGCTGTTGCCATCATTTGATTTCATAATAGATATCGAATAATCCAGTCATTTAAGCTTAAATTAGGTAAGAATCTCGGAATTCGAGATACCCAGCTGTAAGTCTGTAAATACTTGTATATTGACACCCTAAAAGTTGTCTCAAAACTTACATATGGTAGGGTGTAAGCAACTATTAAATTTCAAGGTCAAAGGTCACAAAAATCGGTTTTTTGCGCTTTTTTTGGAATTTGTATTTATTATCAATATTGTAAAATACAAAATTCTGTACAAATTTTGTTTAATAAAACTTTTTATACGGTGAACTGTTTTCGAGATAGAGGGCGGAGAGCGCGCGGTCACAGCATCACTTCAGGTCAACCGGTGCCTCCGGTCGAAAACGCGCCATATATAGTTGATGAACTATCGATAAATCAATGATTATAAATATTTGTCAATTTTTATTAACTATTATATTATATTTTATCATTTTCTTCATGCATTAAATCTATATCTATTCAATAATACTGATAACCGTTTACTAAAATTAAAAAATAATTAAGAACAGAGAGCAGAGAAGATACTTTTTCTATTATTTTTGATGAATACATGAATCATTTACAAAGGCATTACAGTTCCAAAATAATTGTTGTATTTGACGGATATTCAGACTACAGTAAGAACGTAAAAGCTATGGAGCAGCAGAGAAGACCTACTGCACTTTCAAAAACGCATGAAGTTTGTTTCGATGAAACAATGGTTGTACCAGTTACTCAAAAAAAATTCTTATCAAATCGAAATAACAAAGATAAGTTCATTAATATGTTAATTGAAAAATTACAAGCTGCAAATATTACTACTAAACAAGCCAGAGATGATGCGGATGTTCTTATTGTTGAAACTGCAATTGAAGAATCAAAGTCTAAAAAAACTGCAGTTATAATAGGACAAGATATTGATTTACTTGTCATTTTAATTGGGCGTACACTTTCTTACGAACAAGAAATTTTCTTTAAAAAAGTTGGGAAAGGTAATGTAAAAACGGAGATATACTCGACTAAAAGTTTTGATAATTATCCTCATTCTAAAAAACATATTTTATTTCTGCACGCATTAAGTGGCTGTGACACAACTTCTGCGCTTTTTAAAAAGAGAAAAAAATCATTTTTAAAAGTTTTTGAGAAACTGACAAATTTGGATGAACTAGCTGCAGCATTTGAGTAAGAAAATTGTTCGGCCCAGAGATTATTAGAGAGTGGAACTCAAACCTTATTAGCAGTCTATAATGCTCCGAAATCTGTGAAAAGTCTCGATCATCTTCGTTATATGCATTACGTCAAGTCTACAAAACTTAATAAACCTGTGCAGCTTTCAAATATTCCACCAACAAGCTCAGCTGCTCATCAACATTTCAACCGTATATATTATCAAGTTCAAACTTGGTTAGGACATGATTTGGAACCCCAGGTATGGGGTTGGGCAATGCGAAACGATTTTCTGGAGCCTATCATGACAATTTTACCACCTGCTCCAGAAGATTTGCTAAATATAATTTTCTGCAACTGCAAAAGTGGTTGTGGTTCGCGATGCGGATGCAGGAAAGCGGGCTTGCAATGCTCTTTAGCTTGTGGCCAATGTAATAGGCAAGCTTGTCTCAATGCTCTACCATATCAGAGCGACATTAACGAAGATGGAACCTTTGACCCCGAAATCATGGAAGAACTTGAGACAAATGTCGTTGAAGACGATAATGAAGACCAGTTTGAAATTTACCAGCAGCCAGAAGACGACGATGAAGAGGAAGAAGATGATTAAAATTATAAATTGTAGTTTTTGTACCCTTCATTCCATTTCTTTACTTTCAATAAAAATAAATGTATTCAATGATATTTTTTAATAAAAAGATTAATTCATAATTTATTTGTTTTTTTTTCATCATGTAAGAAGTTATAATTATCAAAAATAATAGAAAATGTATCTTCTCTGCTCTCTGCTCTTAATTATTTTTTAATTTTAGTAAACGGTTATCAGTATTATTGAATAGATATAGATTTAATGCATGAAGAAAATGATAAAATATAATATAATAGTTAATAAAAATTGACAAATATTTATAATCATTGATTTATCGATAGTTCATCAACTATATATGGCGCGTTTTCGACCGGAGGCACCGGTTGACCTGAAGTGATGCTGTGACCGCGCGCTCTCCGCCCTCTATCTCGAAAACAGTTCACCGTATAAAAAATAAATTTTATTAAACAAAATTTGTAGAGAATTTTATATTCTACAATATTGATAATAAATACAAATAGCAAAAAACCCATAGGAAATGAGATATTTCCAAAAAATGCGCAAAAAACCGATTTTTGTGACCTTTGACCTTGAAATTTAATAGTTGCTTACACCCTACCATATGTAGGTTTTGAGACAACTTTTAGGGTGTCAATATACAAGTATTTACAGACTTACAGCT